GAACTGTACCTAGAGTCGAAGCAAGACTACAAAGGTTAAGTAAGTAACTACAAGTTAGAGGTAGGTGTAACGAAGTACTCACTCTTCAGTCAGTAAGGAAAGACTGAAGAGGGAGGACGAAATCTGAAGTCCTTATATACTACAGAGAAGTGTCCATGACTAATCGAAGAGTGGTTAGTCACATGTACCATAGTGCGATGAATAATACAACGACGAAAGAATTGCGACGTATCGCACCATAGGATGAGTAAGAGATGAGTAAGGCATAGACCTGTCTAGACCGTTCTGGAGTAGTACGGATTGTCCTAGACAGTACCAGAAGAGTCCGGAAGCATAGCTATAGTACACGAGCAGAGAGTCCCAAATATGGTAACATACTACATAAGCGACTACAGCTAAGTGCTAGGAGACGCATAGCCTCGTGTAGTCCGGACCGGATAAGTCCAAGTTCAACACCCGCTTTCCATCTCACCCCCTCCTCGCATTGTTTTATCCCTTTCCTCGCCATAGCAAGAGGAAAAATGTATCTACTCGTGCGTTTAGCTGTATGTATAGCTAGATATTGTGTTATTATAGACAATTTCACGCGTTTTTGAGCCATCTGCCCCACCAACTCCAATCCACTTACTGGCCGTAATGGCGGCGGTTTCACCCTTGTGTTCGTGAGGAGATAGAGTCCGAGTACTCATGAAAGCCCTTCAAATCTTGAGGTTCCGGTACAAGCAGGAGCATCTGGACCTTGTAGGGAACCTTGTTACCCGTGTCGAGGAGCTCACCTTAGATGATCCCGACATAGATGTGACTCTTGTATTCTGCCAATTTTTGCTTTGCTCGCCTTCTGCGCAGTTTCCCCGCCATTAGCAATCATTGTATACATAACTTATAATGTATATATGGCCCCTCTCCTTTCGTACACTCACAAATCAGAGCTGCGCGCATCTGAGTTCCATATAAGGCGCGTAGCTTGCCAGCCGGTCAGCCCATCAAGCTGGAGCTGGGCGCGAGCTGGGCAGCTGGCTACGAATCAGCTGGATGCCGGCTCGGCTGGATCCGGCTGGCTTGCTGCACTTGATCAAGCCCCACCGGCTTGGCTTGGCTGGCTTGAATTGGCGGCAACACTAACGCGAACAGAAGTGACGGCGTCTAACCGATAACTTCTTGAGCTTGTGGTCAGACGGGAGGTTAAGCCGAGAGGCCAGACTGAGTGTTCTGCAGCCTTCAGCCCCCTTGATCCCTTCAAATAGGCTAATAATTGCGTAACATGAAATGTTGTAGCACCGATCTTGGGGTCTATGCCTATGACCTGCGTATGATTGTGAATACAAAACGTCCACCCTACCCTATATAAGGATCGTCGGGAGCGTCGGGAGCGTCGTGAATATCGGACATCAGGGCGTGAGTGCCAGGCAGTATGATGCCCTTGTTCTGCGTCTGAACGTCTATTTCAAGAGACCATACTCACATACTGCTTGTACGCAGTCCTGAGTAGCTGAGACTTAGATGTACACGTAACATCGCGACATGGGAAAATCGTGGCCTCTACGTGTTGCCATTTTCAGATCTTCGTTAACAGAGGCCCCATTTTTGACTTTGCCGTAGTATTCCCCGAGACCCTCCGGTGCAGGCACAAATACCAGAGGTCGTCTTGGCGATACATGTTCCCATAGGATAGCGGATGTGTCGCGATACGCGGCTCAATTTTGTGCGGGCTTTGTGCGGTGTTCATGCGGGTCTGTATATGGCACATGAGCAATCAGAGCAGCAATAGGTTCAGGCACCCTCTAATAGGAAGTTGGTATCCTGGTCATCGGCGCTCTGCGCGCGATGTGTGGTAGCTTTTGCGAGAGAACCAGGCGCTACATACTACCACGAAAGGTTAGTCGGCCAGTACGAAGCGTAGAGGCGGTGGCGGTTGGCCCACATCCACATAGACAAAGCGAGGTTCATACTTGTATATACATCGCAATAGACCAGCATTACGCCACCCATCAAGCTCAAGTTCCTATCAAACGCCCGGTACTGACGTCTCTTCTATCTATCATGGCGCGTCCGCAGTAAGAACCGAGTAAATGCAATCCCCCCAGCGCGATGCGACGCTGGCGCTTGATCTAACCTGCCTTGTATGGTAAGTATGTCAAAGACAGTGGTATGACGCCGCACCAATGAATAAATTTTGGAAGCTGCTGGTGCAGTGGTAACGATGGCCAATTTTTCTTTCGGTGCGAGAGTTCGAATCCCCAGCAGACTTGTTAGGGTTCGGGTTGGGGGTTAGGGTTTGGGTTTTGGGTCAGCGGTTAGGGTTGGTTGGCCCGTTGGGCACTTGTCTTTCTCCTGACCCCACAAGGGGTCGCCGGTCTTATTTTTTTTTCGCGCGAACGAGGCTTTAGTTGAGTGCTCCCGGCTCGGGGGACCCCCCGAGCGCAGCGAGGGAGGGGCGGGAGCACGAATGGCGGGTCCTCTTCGCGCAGCGCTGGATGTTCTTGAACTACGCGCCTTACATAAGATTTTTCTACCTAATATGGGC